CACCTTTTCTCAAAATCTGCTGTAGATACACGCTTGAAATGCTTTGTGTAATTAAAGTATACCTATCTGATTATACTGAAATGAGATTTTGAAACATTTTGAATTTTAGAGTAATTTACAGAATATTTTGTTAGGCATAGTAAAATTTAGCACTTTTCTCACACAAAAAACTTTTTAAAATTTTTTATTCCAAGTTTATCACAAAAAGTTCATTTCAGTAAATATTAGGAAACCTAATAAAAAAGCCATAAAAATTTTAGATACCTGTAAGCAGCAGTTCCTGAGTAAAGGTACACCGAGTGTAAAAAAATCACGTTTGGAGAAAAACGCGTTTTTATGTAAGAATCCTCATTGATCAAAGCAGTCGATGACATATTAAAACTAGATTTTTTTACAGTTCTAATTTTCATAGAGATTAAAGAATGGTATTTTTAGAAAGATAAAAGTGTAGATAATGTGAAAATGCAAAAATCCGAAACCCCATTTTTTTTTAAGATTTGGGGGTTCCAACACCAATTAACGTTTAATTGGCTAATGTACTTGTCTTAGTTTTAGTTCATCCATTATGTTTGAGTTAAGCCATGATTGTTGGATTAAATCAAAGACGAGTGGTGCCGTCTGTTAACTTTTCATTGATTCAAACAAAAGTGTCCGTTAATCTCTCTCCCTATCTTAGGAGTACTTATTAGGCAGGGAAAATTCGCATGTAATATCCCGATTTCTCGTACGTTTGAAATGATTTACGAACACGGAACTGTACAAAGTTTTATATAAATAATGAAATTTATTTTCACATAAAGCATTTTCTGGATTATGTATTTATGGCATTAATTGCTTGTAAATCACGTCCTCGTGGCAGAATTTTCCCCCACAAAATCGTTTTGAAAGAAATTTAAAGCAAAGCAAGCATTTGAAATTTGCGTCACCTTCTCTTTCGTCTATACATCCGGCAATCCACAAAAGAGCAAAGCAGTGAAGCTTTGAATACTGCCTTCAATTTTTTAATAGATATATTACCATCACATCGTTTTAGAATGTTATTTTCATCATCTTCATTTCCATTTTCCTGCTATTTCCATTTTCATGTTGCCAGTTTTAGAATGTTATTTTTTTGAAAAATGCTTTTGCATTTAAAAAAAAAAATAACATTCTAAAACGATGTTTTTAGAATTTTTAGAATTTTATCTTTTTAGAATTTTATCTGTTTTAGAATTTTTAGAATTTTATCTATAAATAAAATTCTTATAACATTCTAAAACGATAAGTAACGATTAAGAGTATTCTAAAACGATGTTTTTAGAATTTTATCTTTTTAGAATTTTATCTTTTTTAAAATTTTATCTTTTTTAGAATTTTTAGAATTTTATCTTTTTTATTTATAGATAAAATTCTTATAATAACATTCTGAAACGATAAGTTTGTTAGAATTCTTATAATAACATTCTAAAACGATAAGTTTGTTTCTGTCGGTATATATTAGTTTGTTCCTGCTATTTGTTTGTGCCGGTATACATTAGTTTGTTCTTGCTGTTTGTTTCTGTCGGCTTACATTAGTTTGATCTTGCTAAGTTTCTGAAGTTTCAGGTTTAGTTTACAGTTTTGATCTAAAAGGTATATAAAAGAAAGTTATAAATATGAACTATAGAATCCTGCCGAATTTCACTGAGAAAAATAATAAATAAGTAGCAAGCCAGTAAAATATTCAGCTAGCTTATAGCTTAGTATATTCAATCTGTAGCCTTATACTGTAGAATCATTAGATTATTTTGAAGCAGGAGACACAAAAATGAGCAATCCCCTCGCAGGGACTCGAACCTAGACCTCTCGAATACGCACCGAGTGTGCTACCGTTACACCGAAAGCATGCAGAAAGGAGGGACACTGGCAGTGTGATAAAACAGCGGTACCTAGAGCCATCCAAGTTTGAATAATGTAATCCACCACCGAATATGGGCCTCTGGAAACCTGAATTTGTTTTATACTCAACTAGCAGCTTTGCTGCCAGCCTTCGTCTGGCTTTTAAATGTACCGAGAAAATCGCTGAAGGGAACACCAAACGTTAAATTTAAAAACTGCGTAGAATTTTACTCTGCAGAACAACTTCATAAAAAAAAAGTTATTACGTATAACAAAATTACAATGAAATAAGCAATATCCCTTAATACAAATATTAATTATCCTAATAAATAAATTAACCAACTTCTCTTTGCAAAATCTTAAGAACACAAATGGTATAAAGGAGGTTAAGAACTTTGTTTCCTAAACAAAATCACTCAAAACTTTTCAATATCTTAAAAAACAGTGAAACAGTTAAATAACATAAAAGAATACAAAAAACATAAAATTCTGAAAAGCAAAGTATAATTAATGATATTTTATTTTATATTTTCAAGAGAAAAAAATTACAATGAAATAAGCTATATCCCTTAACATAAATATTAATTATCCTAATAAAAATTAACCAACTTTCTGTTGAAGAAAATAAATCATGCAAAACTTTTCAATATCTTACAGACAGTGAAACAAGTAAAAATGACATGAAAGCAACTCAAAAAACATAAAATTCCGCGCAGAAGTTTACTCTGCAGAACAACTTTATCAAAAAAAAAAAAAATCAATAAAATGTATTATATATGACAATGAAATATACCAATCTCTCAAAAACAGTGACATAAGAAATACGATGGAAAATTGTTACCCATCTTTCTAAAAGAATGAAACTACTCAAAATGATGCGATTTCATCAAAAATCTATCAACAACAATAAGAAAGGAAAATTGTTGCCAAAATCATATTTTAAAAGATGTGAGATGCGAGAAGTGTACTCGGAAGCTTCATTTAAAAAATTCTTTAAAAATACAAAATATTATCATTTTCCCAAAATTCCTTTTGTAAAAGCAGTCGCAAGGATGAAAGTGTAAAGTGTCAAAAAATCAAAGGAAAATAAACTGTACATTTTTAAAATAAACTTTTTTAGAGAAAATCCCGTTGAAAAGGTGTTAAGCTCCCTTTGTTAAATAAATTCGTATTTAATCGATTTATTGAAACACGAAATTTATTTTAAGTTCGTAAAATAGCTAAGTGCCTACGTTTCGTGACGATGTGAAAATGGAGTGTGTAGAGTAAAATCTCGGTTTCCTATAGCCCATTATGTCTCAAAATGACGCGATTTCGTCACACATAAAATAAAAAAATTTCTAGTTCGAATTTCGAAAAAATCGCTTCGAGGTGCACTGGCTCTTGTCTATATGCACCTTTGCACCAAATTTCGTAACCGTGGGTTTATTAGCTTACGCGCAGCGCGAACGAAAGACACACACACACATACACAGACAGACTCTTTCTTTTATTATATGTAGAGATTTCATATTTTGTAACATTTTAACAAATTTTTTTATTAACAAACGCAACGATTTCAAAGCGAAGAATGGCAACAATGAGAAAGAAAATCATTTTTATGTCCATCGCGGAAATTCTAAAGATAGGCTCATTTTAAAATTATTTTGCAATATTGTTGTTGAATTGAATTTTATGTTTTAAGTGCGAAGAACATGAAATTTGATAAATAAAGATAACACACGAAACGTTAAAAAAACGCTCCTTGGGGCGTAATGCAAAATTTAATAGTTTTAAGATTTTATTATTATTTTTCTTTTTTTTTTCACTTTTTATATATTAACGATTTTATTTTAGAAACACTTTTAAAATATACATTAAAATGTGGGATGTGATTATCAAATATTCCACCTGATTGCAAATTTTACTTAAAAATTAGTTACTAATGCATGTTACATTAACTTACATGCTGTAAACAAAAACATCAAATAATATAAACATTTAATTTTACACTGTGATCTTTATCTCAATACATAGATTCAAAAAACATTATTTGCCTTTTCCTATATTGAATAATGACAATAAAATTTGTGTAATATGTACTCGTGAAAAGGGAGTATTTATTGTCAGAAATTATTATCATATTAAAAACAAAAACATCAAATAATATACTAAGTTTACTTTATGATCTGCGTTTTTAACACGCAGATGAAAAAATATAATTTGGCTTTCCACGTACAATGATACATTAGACTGAACACTTATTCGTGGAAAGAAAAAATCATTTATGGCTTGTTACAAATATATTACATACAAAAACATCAAGTAATATAAGTTTATGTTATAATCTGTAGTTTTAACATGGGGGAACAAAAAACATAAATTGTGCTTTCCTGTATAGAATGAGAATCATTATATTTGATATTTATTTATGGAAAAGAAGTCAGTATATTTACTATCGCTAACTAATATCACTGTATAAACAAAAATATCTAATAATATATTTACTTCATGATGTATATTTTAACACGCAGATGAAAAAATATAATTTGGGTTTCCATTTATAATGATACATTATACATGATATTTATTCATGGAAAGAAAGATCATTTATGGCTTGTAACAAATATATTACAAACAAAATCATCAACCAATATATTATAATCTATAGTTTTAACATGAGTAAACAAAAAACATAAAATGTACTTGCCTATATAAGATGATGATACATTCATTATATTTAATATTTATTTATGGAAAGGAAGTAAGTATATTTACTACCGGTAACTAATATCACATTACTAACAAAAACATCAAATAATGTTTATATTATCATCTATATTTTTAACATGGAAAGGGAAAAAACATAATTTGTGTTTTAAAGGTAAAATAATGATATATTATATTTAAAATTTATTACTAAAAAGAAAGCACATATACTGCCGATGATAAATATTATTAGTACAAGCAATTTAATGAATTTTTTATAATTCCTAAAACTGATCTATAAATAAAATTCTTATATATGCAACATTTAAAACAAATGGGTACAGTTCAAAACATTCATAACCGACAAATGGATTAAAACTGAGCAGGTAAAAATTTCAAATTGGTTTAGTGATTAGACATACAAATGTGTAAGAAATAACATTAAGAAAACTTACCGTGATTGATGCTTAACACTAAATAAATTAAACTAAACATTATGATGGTTATGACTGGCAATAAATCAGATCGAATGACCAGTGGTCACAGCTAACTGCGACTGACTGGCAGCTGCAATGCTATGTTTCATCTAAGAGCAGCTGCTACCGCGTTTTAGCTGCCAAGAGTACATCGCCAAATGCTAATGCTCCGTGATTTCCAAGATAAACCCTAGTGTTGTTACGATCCACAAAATATTGGCGCCAAAATTTGGCGCATTTCTCTCCGCCGACGCAGCCAGCTTCAGAGTGCTAAAACGAGTGAATTATGATTACTGTTTTGAGCAGACGCAAGATAATTTCACATTTTGAGAATGCTAGACAGAGAGGAGGCATTTGTACTTACGTTTAAGACAATAAAGGTTTGAGTAATTTGTTTCAACAAAAGACATTTTATGGTGTTTATTTTAACAACAACCAAGAATAAAATCAACACTTTTCTTCGTTGTTTACATTTAAGAAAAATATGTTGAATGGAAAAGAGAATAAGAATGTAAGAAAGTAGGTTGAGTGGGAAATAAATTAAGCTGTGACTATCATAAACAACGAAAAAAAAAAAAAAAAAATTGTTTCCATCTTTTCTTCAAACTATAGGAAGAAATCAAATAATAAGAATACATTACAAACTGTATTATCACAAAATTTTAATAAAATAAAGCTTATATGTATGAGTTAAAATAAAATTCATAAAAAAATATTAATTTTTATGCAGAAAATATGAAACCAAAAAGTAAATTTCATTTTAAGATTCCAAATTTGCATTTATGGAAGGATGGTGAATTAAATTCCAAAACCAACTAGTTATATTCATTTTATAAATACCGTATTTCTATTTATTATCCTTTTTATCAAATAATTTTTATTTTCTGATTTCGTAATTATCTTCCTACCATCGATAAAAATCTAAAGCCGAAATGCAGGAAGCTATGTTTACCATAGAGAAAGCTTTCGCTGTTACTGAGTATTCTGTCAACAGAAATCAGTAAACTAATTGACCTCACATGCAACATAAACGATATTTATGTGCATTTACGTGTGCTTTTAAATTTATTATGTGTGCATTATGTGTGCATTATGTGTGCTTCTGTACCTCTATCATAACAGAAATCTTTAACGAATTTTTGTGTAACAAACTCAAGGATTTCAAAGCGAGGGATGGCAATGTTGTGCAGAAAAAACATTTTTATTTTCAGCGCGCGAGACTGTGTATCGGAAATTCTAAAGATAATTTAAATTGCGATATTGCTCTTGAACTGAATTTTATCGTTTAAGTGCGGAGAACATGATATTTAATAAATAAAGGTAACACACAAAATACTAAAAAAACGCCTCTTTGGACGTAATTTAAAATCTGAAACCTTTCAGATTTTATTTTTTTAATATTATTTATTTTATTTTATTTTATTATTTTATTATGCTTCTTATTATTACTGCCGCGTAATAAGCGTCTCGTGCATTAATTATATTAATGATCAAGCCAATGTTTTCAAAGAAGCATATGTTATGAAGGATTAAATTATTGATTTTACTTTGCAACCAATTATTCCAAATACATCGACCTATATTTGTTTTGGTATGTAAGAAAATATTATTATGTTTCCAAACACAGAATATGAAAAATCTTGTGTCCTCTTCATAATTTAAATCACAGATTCGCTATGGGGACGTGGTAAACACTTACACTACAAGATAACACAAGGAAAATAGGACGATTCCTTGCATTCTTCCCCACCTAAACAGTGACCAGAGAGAGGAACGAGATACGCTAGAGCAGATCCAAGCGGTGACAAGATATTAATGACAAAGACATGGAATTAGATGACATAAACTTCAATTAAAATTACCTTAAACATTTCTGGAAAATAAAATTAAAATGATATTAACAATAAAAAAAATATTAGCGGGAAAATAATACAATTGGTAAAAACTGATAAATGAATTAAAAACCATATAATTACAGACGGCTGTCACTTGAGTTTTGCATTTTCTTTTGAACTTTTAAACCTACTGAGATGTATTACAATCACATTGATGGTCTCTAAAGTAAAAGATCTTCCATCGTCAGTATCCATCATTCTATCGTCTATTGCAGTTACTGGAGCATATCGGAAATAAAACTGCATACTCTTCTTCAGTTTCAAAAGAGTCCTTTCTCTTGTAAAGTTGATGGATATTTCCCGCATACTTTGAAAGCCACAGTGCTGAGTTTAACACATGAAGTGCTTGAAAGATTCCCTTTCGCCTCTTTTAAGTCGTTGTCTTGTAGAGATATTACGTATTTCTTTTAAGCTGGAGATGTGAAAAATGAGCAACACCTTCGCGGGGAATCGAGCCACGGACCTCTGGATACGTGCGCATCATACAGACTACTGCACCACGAAGGCACGTTACGAAGACGGAAGAAATACCTTATGTACTTCCCCTTTTAAAGGTTGACTGGCGTTTTAGGGGACCCAGTTGCCGAATCCTGGGTGTAGAGAATTATTATCCACCCTTTCCTTTTAGTTCGGGCGTTACTGTAGAGACATTAGGTATTTTTTAGAAGCAGGAGATATGAAAAATGAGCAACGCCTTCGCCTCTGGATACGCGCCCAGCATGCAAACAATTATACCACGAAGGCATGCTAAGAAGGCGGGAGAAATACCTTATAGGCTAATTTATCAATGTAATTTATAGCATCAGCATACTCTATATTTTGCTCTTGCTGTCATTTAATAGCTGAGATTAGGATCCTGAAATTGGATCTGATATGCCCAAGATATCCTTCAGTTTAACGATCCAAGGTCATTCGCCAACTTTCCGCCGACAGACAATACCAGCTGAACAAAAATAGAAAATAAAAATATTTTATTGAGGCAGGAAAACGTCTTGCACAAAGAAGTTAATATACAATTTCAAGAATGTGCCTGTGGACTAGCGTTCACCCCCCCCTCTGCATGTAATACTTCGGAACTGAAAATGCGCAAAATGTCTTAAAAAACTGGCAAATGTTGATATGGAAAAATTCTTAGATGTGTCACTCATGCATTATGGGAAACGCCTGTCAGGATAGATAAAACTAACAAATCGCCTGCTCAGTTTTCTATGAATAGGCATGCCTGCCTAATAAAGATGGATTGGATTGGATTGGATTATTTAAAGCACACGAGGGATATTTGCCTAAAGGGAGGGATGCCTTCGTGGAGGACTTTCTAAGGGAAACTGGCTCGTATACACGTTACACAGCCTAATAAATATGAGTTCATAGGAACTGAGACGTCTTATTTTAAGGGTAACTTTGTTCTTCAGTTTGATTACTGGAATATGCTCAAAATTGCTTTAATTCTAAGAACATTTGTTTGGAATAAGACCCAAAAATTGCTCTGAAAACTTGCAAAATGCTTTAAAATAAGAAAATACTCAAACGTATTCCAAAAAATACACATGTCATCAAACTCTGAGCATTCTCATTGACTAAATCACTATGACATCCTCTTCTGCCAATACTAGCTCACGCAGCATTTTTTTCTCTTTTTTGAGTTCTTTTAGACAGTTTTGTTTCACGCTGACAGTCTGCGATAACATTTTTTTTCCAACCATTCTAAATTAAACTAGGTTAAAGATATTTAGACACAATCACGGTTAAATGGGAGTATATTGTATTTTTGTATGAACTTAGGTCTACTCGTTTGTTTGTAAACACATGTATCACATATACTAGCGTATATAAAAAATTACTTTGCAATATGAATTGCAGTATACTTCGTAATTGTTTGATATAAAAAGTGGTAATGAGATTGCAAACATTTATAATGAAATAAGATTTAATTCAAAAGCTAAACTGAAAATTAGCGTCTAAGTTTTAACGTATGGTATAATGTAAACTGTGCCAATTGATTTTTCCTCTGCGGACTGAGTGGCACGATTGTCTTCATCAATATTTCAGCAATGCGGCAGGAAACATTTATGCTGCAAAACATCCCGTGGATCAACTAAAAATTGACATCATCATTAAGCAAAAACCAGGAAAATATTTGATGATTCATATAGTTGGAATACTACATCCTAATATATCTTATCAATCGTCTACAACCTGCCTAAATTTGTGTCTTTAGTTTGTGCCTTTTTTTCTTAAATATTAAAAAATTTTAATTTGCAAATCTATCTCCACGTTTTAATTTATCATGATAAAATTACAATTCACGAAATGTAAATAAATTTAAAACAGGCGTCAAAAAACGCATCTTAAGAAGAACAAAATTTTATACCAGTGAAAAGGCCCGAGCGAAAAGTCGCTGAATACTAGTATTTCGATCCGGGGTTAGAATTCCAGTGAACGACCTGGGTTCATGGGTATTTTCGTGGTTTTGCCCATGTGTATCGTGCATACGAACCAGGTTCTCTTAGAAAGTCCTTTGCGAAGACATCCCTCCCGTTAGGCAGATATCCTTTAAGTGCTTTGTCACAATTAAATAAGCGTAAACTTAAAAAATTATTCCAGTGAAAAATCCAAAACTAAAAATTCTTTAATATATATAAGCACTTCAAGAAACCCCTAACATTGTATACCCCATAATATACACCACACTGTAGAGTCATTAGGATTTTTTTAGAGGCAGGAAAGATGAAAAATAGCAAACGCCTTCGCCGGGAATCGAACAACGGACCTCTGGAATACCGGCCCAGCGTGCAGAACCACTACACCACGAAAGACGCTAGGGAAGTGGGAGAAAAACCTTATCACATATATACATCATATTTCATATTTTTATCTTATATATATACATCATATTTCCCCCTTTTTCTGAAACTTATTCTATAGTTTAAAAATATAGAGGGAAAAATTGTGAGTCATTTAGTAATTTCGAAGGATGCGGTTACAGTAAAAACATGACCAATGAAAAGTAGTCATGGATAAACTACTAGTAACTATCACAATAGTATTACTTCGAAAGAAACTTACAGTTCAACAAAAATACAAAGTAACATTAACATTACACTCTGATGATAACTGAGCTGAACAATTCGCTCTCTGACTCAAATACCTTCAAAAGTCAAAGGTGTATCTCGCATGATAAACCTTGACTGCAGCTCTCAAGAGGGACATCGGAGAAACGAAGGCGAAGAGGAATGAAGAAAC